TGTTTTTCCAACAGCAGCAGCTCTGCAGTGGAAGGGCCATGTGAGCTTTGTGTCCCCTGAGATTCCAGCCGTGCACGTTCTTAAGCATTCAGAGGAGTGGATGCTGAGATTTCAAGAGGAATATTAAGCATCTAAATCCCACCTAACTGCCATGAAGATTCAGCATTAACCTTTTCTAGCCAGCTTACTGCAGTGTGGGACTGAGCACCATGAGTAAATGCAGGTGAAATAGTATTTAATTGTGGAAGTGATTGTGTCTGGTAGGGCTGAACTGTACCACCCAGTCCCTGCTTTGCCACAGAAAAGAAAATCAGAGTTGTTAAATAGACTTGTTTAACACAAAAATAGGGTTGGCACATCGGTTTTGATTTCTCCATTTTAAGTGTATTTAGGGCTGGTAGAAGTTTTCCACGGATTGGGAACAGCACATGGCAACGGTGTTCTGTATTTAACTTGTCCTATCCAGCCTAGAAGTTTTCATTCCTAAACCAGTCAGATTAAATATGCAAATGTAAAATTCAGTCCTGGGCATAAAGCCAGCAGAAGGTCTGGTGTGGGAATTAGACGTTGGATGAGCACTCAGCGGAGGAGGAACTGGTCTGTCGCACCGTATCAAGGTGCACTTGAGATTAGCTTTCTCATTCCCTGCATCGGACCGGGTGTTAGGGCATGCACAGAAGGAGCCTTCTGAACACAGTGGAGACAGAAAAACTCACGTCTGACCTCGTTTCCTCTGCAGTCATTAGGAATTCTCTCTTTGCTTTGCTTGCACAGAAGAGACAAAGGTTTATGGGAGTAACAGCATTCCCGTTTTAATCAATGACAGTTGTATGACCTTCTCTAAACCTAGAGCTATGGTGCATAGATCATTCATAAATAATAAGATATTTGGAAATGGAACATTTTTCCGTTCTGCTGACCTCTGAACAGCAGTGACCTGACAAGGCTGCCAAAAGGTCAGGCCTCTGCTTGAGATTTCCCTTTGACCAAGATTACCTGCCAGTTTCTGCTCAGCAGTGGGAGTGTGAGGCATGCACAAAGGGAGGAGAGTTTGGGTGCAGATGAAACATCTGTGAACCTGACAGGAATGAATGATGGTGATCCTTCCAGCCACGCCGCCGAGATAAGAGTGGTGATGGAACTCTCGGGGATGTATTTACATGGGAAGATAAACTGACTGAAGAAGGAAGGGCAAAGGAATGACTGTCCTCTGCTCACTTTTCTGCTAAGGCATTGATTTTCTAAATTGTGTACTGGAAGGTGTTGTAACAGTAAGTTAGAAATTTTCAAATTAACTAAAAAAAACTGGTTTGGGGATATGGCGTAATATTGCACAATTTCTTTGGTAGTCAGCTCCCGAACACCCACCTGCCGCTAAGGGCAGCAAGCGGGTGCTTTGAAACAAGGGCCTGGGACAGTCAGGGCGAGGAGTGAAGGCGCTACTCACAAAAGCAACAGTTGGAAGCTGCCTGCTTCCGTAGGAATCACGCCTTTCAGATAAATGAGATGAAACGCACTACGGTAGCTGTAGTAAGCAGGTAGATACTGTTGGTTTTAAATTTATTTCTCCAAGATTTCCAAGTCAGCTGGACAGAGAAGCACGCTGAAAAAATTTAGCAGGCACTTACTTGTGTTTTAACGTGGCTAGATGTAAATACCTTTGAATATATGGCCCTCTGTCAGTTGAGCAGAAAGGGAGAAAAAAACCTGTTTATTATCTTGACTCATCCTTTAAAGCTTTTTCCAAATGACAGTGTGTAGGAGGGTAGTGGGCAACAGAGAAGAGCAAGGCATTGGTAGTCAAGTGAGGCAGAACTGATCCTACCTCGCTAACGTGGGACACCCAGTAGGTGTCTCAAACACGAGTCCCTTACTCAGAGTCACCTGAGGAGAAGAGGCGTGAGGGGAACACATCGGGCAGGCAGTCTGGAGCAGAGGGTTTTCAAGGATGTCCAAAAACCTCCACTATTTTAGATCACAGGCTATGGAAGCTTAGCCTACAAAGTTTGACCAAAATGCAGTACTTTTTATATTTCACTTTCTTTTTAATTTTCCTTGTTTATTTCTTTTCCTTTTTCACGGTGCTGTTCTACTGTTTCTAAAATCAGTTGGAAGTCACATGCTGGGTAAGCAGCAGCTGTTAGATGCTTTTCACAAACATTTTCCTTAGCCATTATGAAGGAACCAGTGGCCATTAACCCTCTCATGAGCTTCTACTCCTGAGCCTTCTCATGCTGATGCCCTGAGAGAAGTTTCTCTGGGGAGGGGCAAATGTGTCCTGTTCCTGCAGAGAAGGGGTCACCAGTGGTTGTAGTGATTGCGGGTGTGAAATTTCTTTCCATCTTTCGGAAGGTTGGCAGAGAATCACTCACCCTGGTAGGTAAGTAGGTGGGGAACAGAGAACAAGTGTTTCTGTGTCAACCTCGTGGTGCCTTGTGACCCATCAGGTGAGACACCAGAGAGGAGGATGCATCAGGACGTCAGCAGGACGTGGTAGGGACAACACAGTGGTAGATTCATGCCAATAGGCATCAGGGCAGCGTTGTTTCCACTGGATTTCCAGACAGCTTGATCCACCGCCCTGAGGACCAGGCGCTGCACTGTCTCACAGGGGTGTTTAACACTCATTTTAATGACAGAGATATAAATGTTGGTGACAACACCGCTGAACTTGACTGACCTCCAATAGGAAGCTTCTAACTAGAGAGTTTATTCCAGAGTCTGTCTCTGAAAATGGTGGTGCTCAGCCATCCTCTCTCCAGACAGTCGGGTTTACTCACTGGCAGTACACGTTCAGAGTTCGAAACCCCGAAACCTACAACAAATGGGGGTTTGATGACAGAAGATGTAACTGGCTGATTTTAATGCTAAACAGAGCAACACTGCACTACGAAGATGATTACTGCAGTCATTTTTCCTATGAGCTCATTCAACTTCTCTGTATTTGAAGTTACCTAAAGCCATAGTGGAATTTGAGAACTGGAAGCACTATGGAAAACTGTATCTGGATCTCGCTTTTATGAGAAGACAGTAGCCTTGAATAACCTTGAAAACAGTCCTAATTTGTGAGGTTTGTTATAGTCTTAGAAATACAGTTTTCTCTCCTGGAGCTGCAGTGTCACAGAATTACTGTGGTAGTAGCTGTGAGTTATTGTCACATTAAGTTAGTTTTTTGCCACGACTTTAAGTTAGTTTTATGAATTGGACCTTTGTTATTTAGGAGGGCAGCATGGGAAGCACTGCAGATGTCATTAGTCACGCTCATCCATATTATACTGTGCCTGTTAGAGAGGCAGCGTTCCAGCCAGTCATAAAGGGCAGCAATTTCCACACTCACAAACCTCATTCTTCATCACAACTGCCTAGATCGAGACCCGAGTATCGGTCTCCGCTCTAGAAGAGGTGGCCAAAAAGCCAGTGGCAATCAGCTCTGCTGATGAGGTTAGATCAGTATCCAGTGCAGATGTATTTATGGAATAAAGAGATAATAAAAATGTGTATTAAGGCAAGAGAGCTTTGAAATGGTGGTGGCCTTCAGCCTGTGTGAAGTGTATTTCCTGTGGGACAGCCACATGTAAGTGGGTGTCTTGGGAGTGGAGACAGGCAGAACAAGCTGCTGCATACCGCCAAGATGGGAGTCGCTAGTTTTATTCTCACTGGAGAAGGTAGGCACTTGGTCCAGAACGCTTCACCATTCCCCTTTCTCTTTGCTACTGCTAAACCCTGTGTTTCCATGGCACTGAAAGCTCCTGACAGACATGCAGCCCCTGTCTGAGAACTGGCCTTTCTGAGGCACCACCTGCAGGGTAGTTGGCTCTGACTGCAAGATTCCCTTGCGGCAAGGCTCGGCACGGATCCTTCAAGGCTGGCCGGGCTGGTTGTTGCCAGTGCTGGAACTGCTGTGCGTGGAGGTGGACTGGCTGGGTGTGCCAGTGCTTCCCACAGGATGGAACAAAGGACCAAACTTTGCAGCATCTGTGGATGCCACCAAGAGCGAAACCAAGCTATGGAGCGTGAATGCAAGCCCTTGCTGGATCTGTGCAAGGAGCAGCTGCTGACTCCCACACAAGACTTAGCACTGAGGGACTTAACTGTACATGGAGTGCAGTCAGACTGTACAGGAGCTGGCTGCAAGCCAACACTGTATCTGAGCATAATCCCATGGCCTATTTCAAAAATACATTTTTGGAGTTTGAAATTCCTTCTAGTCTCCTGCAGAACGAAGAGGTGACAAAAGTGATGGTAAGGAATGACCCCTTGAAGCAGTACAGTTGTCTGGCATCCTGGTCAGCGACTTGGGGATGAAAATGCAGTGCATAGTTCAGAAAAACAGGCCGTTAGCGAAGTTGTCATGGGTCCAGTTCAATATGTGCAAACTCCATAGCGTGCTTTGGAGTCGAGAATCGAGGCTCCCACCAGGCATTTGAGAGGAACTGAATAATCATCAGATGCAATCTGCGCGGTGTACGCAGCCAGCACGAAAGCTCCTTCTGTCTCTGCTGTGAAGGCAGAAGACGGCTCTCCTCCCTCAAGTAAGGAGCTGCGTGACACTCACTGCATGGGTTGGACGTGAAACTCGTCTCGGAAAAGCTTGGTGCTACGTGATGTTTTCTGGGGAACAGAGAGGAGTGTTACTGGCCACAGACATCATTCCTCTTCACTAAAATTCAGCGCTCTTCCTCAGCGCAGGGGAGTAAATCGGCCTTCTTTTCGTTCAAGTCCAGTTATGGAAAATGAACGGCCTGGACAACCTCTGGCCAAAACAGAACCTTTGGGGTGTTAAATTAAAAAATAGCTTCAATGAAAGTTAAGTTTTCATACAGCAAACCCAGCGCCACTGTGAAACAGGCGGTGCCCAGGGGTCGTCGTACCACCAGACCCAACGGGCCAAGCAGGTACGGGCGCAGGGAAGCGCCCAACCTCGCCAGGTTACTGCCGCTGGGAAGCCGGTAGGTCGGCGCAGCGTCACGGCTCCGGCACTGCCGGTGACAAGAAGCCGATCAGCGAGTCAGCGCTGCTCATTGCATGGCACGGTATCGAACTCACTCCCTGAGGTTTCTTTTGGAGGGTGTTACATGTTAAAATGGTTTCTAAAAATCTTTGGCAATGTTCTGTACGTGTAATTTTACTTTAAAACACGAGTACTCGGGAGAAAGAGGTTGAGTTCCCTCCTGTGATTACCGTGCTTAGCTCCAGGCGATGGGGCCTACGGAGTCTTCTCACGTGAACCTGTGCAGGAACGCAGCGAGTAGCGGGAGCGGCTCCTCTACGTTAGCGCGCTGGCAACACGAAATGAAACAGCTCCCGTTTCATACCGGAGCAGCTTTGTGCGCCAGTGTTTAGATTCTGAGGTAATTCTGTGTAACTTAACCAAAACTAACGTTTTCTGCCTGCTTTACAGGTTGATGCAGAAGGAACGCAGGGGGATGTTTTTCTGGAGTTCTGCAAGACAATTGACTCTTTCCTGAGAAGGGAAGAAGAGGCAGCGCCTGCTTTCTCAAGAGGGGCAGCATTTTCAGCAGGCTTTGTGCGCCAGTGTTTAGATTCTGAGGTAATTCTGTGTAACTTAACCAAAACTAACGTTTTCTGCCTGCTTTACAGGTTGATGCAGAAGGAACGCAGGGGGATGTTTTTCTGGAGTTCTGCAAGACAATTGACTCTTTCCTGAGAAGGGAAGAAGAGGCAGCGCCTGCTTTCTCAAGAGGGGCAGCATTTTCAGCAGAGCAGGAGCCCTCGGCGGTCTCAATTAAAAGGCTGTTCAGAGCAATACTGCTTTCTTGAGAGGTGTCCGGAACTTGTGCATGTGGTATGTTATTTTAGGCGAAATCTTTCTCTGTCCTGACAACGCACTCGCTAGAAAGCGGTCTGTATGCTAACTCTGCACCGAGAACTGTTTGTGGTTTTGTTGGGTGTTCGCTCCTCACGGGCTAACAGCAGGATGGCGAACAGCAGCTCCGGTTTGCGTCGCACGACCTCACGCCTTCGACGGGAAGTCAGGCAGTGCCTGGCCAGCGGGGAGCTCCTCAGCCACACCATCACCGCTTAGCGAAGTGAGGGTACTGCTTACAAGTTTCTCATTGGTTATTTTAATTATCAGTATTAATTTCTGTGGTATCACTTAGCTTGGGTTTTGGCGACTACAACCTGTTCTCTGCTACGCGCAGCTGCAAGACGGCTGGAATCAGTCAAGCTACAAGTTACAATAAACTTTTCACACGTCCCCAGAACGCTGTGACAACAAGCAGAAAAATGGAGACACGGTTCGGTGGCGTGGAAGTCTGTCAGTCCGTCACCGTGGAGCAGACAGCATTGCCTTCTGCGGGGAATTGTAGGGTATTATAAACGACGACTTCCCGGTTCTGGGCACTGAGGTGAAAATAATGATTGGATTGTAGAGTTAATGTGCAATCCAGTAGTTATCCTCATTAACAGCAGTTTTACTATCTTAATTAAAGCCTACACGTAAAACTGACTGTGAGCCAGAATGTACGAAGAAGTCTTCAAATCCTGCTTTGGAAGCAGTTCAGATGCAAAATTCAGATCATCATCTGTTGTCTCGTACTGGCACTGCCGAAACTCGGGGCGGGGGGGGTGGGGGGGGGTGGGGGGAGGAAGAGGAAAATGTCAGGGATGATTTTATTCTCACTGCTTGCTTCTTTATTAAGCCATTTATCTGTAATATCTGAAAAAAAAAAAGTCTGTAAAAGTCATATTGTATTTCCATTAAGTTAACCAAAATATTGTGGAGTTTCTTTGGTATTCCAATAGCTAAACAAAAGCTTGTTCGACATTCCTGTAAAGTAATCGCATCCTCTTACTGGAACTGCTGGATGCATTCACACTGAAGTGGGTTGCATGATTGCTCTTACTGTCAAAGTTGTACTTTATGCGGCAGATTTGTATTTTTAAGGTTCCCTTTCTTGTAACGAGGACGTAACACAAATAAAACACATGTACAAAAATGAGGAGCAATGGTTTCTATTAGAGTATACGTGGGTTTAATCCTTTTAAAGCACAGTACAGGATTTGGGAAAAGAGCTCACATCAGCATGCGTACAGAGTATGTCCCTTCTCCGCCCAAGGCAGCCTCTTCCACTTTCCTTTTCTTCCCTGGCATTTGCCCTCTAAAAGCTAATGCACCCGTTCCTAAGGGACCGGTTTAGGTATGTTCTTATCCTCCACAGCCTGGACGGTCCTTCTGTCCCGGGTCCTTCCACAGCCTACGTTTTACCCCTGGCGCTCTGGGAAGTGCCTCTCCAGACCAGCGCCGTTCGGTGAGGGCAAGGCCCGCACGCGGCAGCTTTAGGGGAGCGGCCGCCGGACGCGGCAGCGGGAGAAGGCGGGCTGCTGGGAGCCGGGCTGCAGCACCAGCAGCTGCCTGGTGCTTCTCAACAGCGAAAGAGTAAAGTAAAATACTCTGCAGTTACCACGAGGTTGCAAATCCACCTGGAGAGGTTTTTCTGGAGGATTTTTTCATCACACCAGATGTGAGAAAGCGTGGAGTATTGTGCCTGTGCGGGGTGGGAACAAAGGCAACAATCAACTGCTTTTTTTTTTTTTTTTTAAATCAAATTACAAAAATTACTCCACACACAGTTTCAGTTTAATCTTTGTTTCTGCTTCTTCTGGCCTTTTCTGCAAAACAAAATAAATACTCCCGTGCTTGCCAGGCGGATGTGCTCGAGTCCGTAGCGTATGCAGGAGGAACAGCTGCCTAGGCATGCACGTGGGAACAGAAGTATTTATACACATTCCGGGAAAACGGACATATCCAAGACCCTTCTTCCTTGGGTGATTCAGACCTAAAATTCTCCTTCTGCTTCCAATCAAGTCACACCACGGCCTTTTCGCCCCCCCCAAGCCATCCTAGGCTGACGGATGAGTATTTGAGCTTAATCACATCTTCACTAACGTACGCCCATTACTCCGTTCCAGTAACGGTTTCAGGACAGCAACAGGAAACAGAGATTACCTCGGATTCTCTCCCTGATAACGACACCCTCACCGACTCCAGCTTCCGGTGAACGGCACGCACGGTGTGAAAAGCCCGTTTCCCGTTTTATCAGGGAGCCTCTCGGGTGGCATCTTTTCCTGATGAAAACTAAAATACATCACGTGAATTTCTGTGTTGTATTTTTTTTTAAATTTATTAACTTTAAGCCTGCTAGCTAGGTGAGATCTGTTTACAGCTGGTGCTTTCTCAGTGTGTCAGTGGCTGTACGGTACCGCCTGCTAAACAGAGTGCTTTGAATTCTTGTTTTCTGAAGCAAAAAATAGCTACACCTAAATTTATCGCAAAACTCAATACTGATCACTTTATAAGTAAAGTTACTAGGTGCAGCCAGCCAATTATCCTTCTTATTGCCATCTTTTGAAGTCAAATTAGTTTCTTTGCTGGCTAATTACTCCAGCATTCCAGTCTCAAAGCAACTGGAAGTCTGTTAGAGTTACCCAGTGTTTCTGCATCACAAGCTACGCATTTCAACAGAAAACAGGTCAACTAAACCACGTCACAGTAAGAGCAAAGCTTCCCAGGCAGCGGCACGCAGCGTACCACGGCCACCGAAACCTGCGTCTGCTGCAGCCTGAGAAAGAGCAGCTTGGGAGTAAGACAGGAGGAACGACAACGCTAATCCCGCAACAGGCGAAGCGCGCTCCAGGCGGCGCAGGGTGCCATCGGTCCCCGCTGCACGAACAGCGGCGGGAGGCACGGGGCATCCTGCCGGTCTGCGCGGTGGGTCCCGGTACGACCTACTCGAGCGTCCTCTGAACGTTCTCCTCCTTGACTAAAAGGTCAGAACTACACAGAAAGGAAGTCACGGCAAGCATTCTATATATAAACAGACTGTATCCACATAGTTTATTTCTCACAGTTCTCCTGACAATTGAACATTATTTAAGAACATACTGTATACACAGATAAGAAGAAACATACAAAATGTTTTAAATGATGCACAACAAAATCCAGCAGTATAAAAGAATGCATGTGAACCCTTGCTCACTGCTCAGGCTAAATTTAATCACTGTTTAAATAGTAATAAAAATACAATCTTTCATGGATCTTGTGCAGACTACAAAAGAGGAAAAATTATTACCATATATATGATTTATATTAGGCAGTTTTCTTTGATGAGTTGCACTAACAACTCCAAATACAGAGGCAGAAGGCTGTGTATTTTATTTTAAAGGAGTTAATGTTGAGTATTAGAGACTTTACACAGTTACTACCACTGGCACTTTTCACCATATTTTGTACACATCACATGATCATCTTATATAACATTACATTTAAAAAATATATCTGAGTGACAATTTTATAACATTCACACACCATGAGCTGGTTAAGGAAGCAATGCCACAGTTGCCCCCTGTAGTGCTTCACTGTTGGTAAATAGAGTTCATCGTGGTTTAAAAAAAAAAAAAACCCAAAACAAAAGAACAGAACAAAAATAAAACCCAAAACAAAAACCAAAATTTAAAAAAATTGAAAGTCGATGTGATTAAGCAGCTCCGATTGAATAAAGGCCTGTAACCAACCACCACTGAGACAGTGAGTATTTTTTTAGAGAACATCCTATAAGCAAACACTGTCATTGGTTAAAACCTTGCCTAAAGAAGTCAGTTACTGTGCTGAAAACTATTTCACAACAAAACTGCAAGCTACTAAACTGTTTTTATATAAATACTTCATCTCCTCTGGATCTCATTACAACAAAGTTCTCCAAAGCCTTTGGAATTGACTCTACCTTGAATGTGTGCTCTCGTTTCTGGCTCACCCTTTTGTACGCTTTTTCTTTTGTGTTTAGATTCACCACCTAAAAATGACTAATGTGGTGAAAGAAGTCTCCCAGTGAAACCTTCTGCACACTAGGAATGTTCAGCTGCTGTTCAGTGATCTAGAACCATGACAGCTCAAAGCTGTAGTTTGACAAGTACACCCAGGAAGCTGTCATGCTGTGAGCGACATTTCAGGGAAAGCAGAGTCTTTCCAAAATGTGCACAGAATTAACAATGGTGCCATTGTTATTTTTCAAAGAGGATAGTAAGCCCAAGATGGTAGGTCTGCTTCCCATGTCATCTATTTGCTGGAAAGTAGTTTGGGTCAAGATAATTGTAACTGGTGCCCTGGGACATGCAGTAGTCTCTGTCTAAAAATGTCTCTGCTCTGTAAATAGGTTCTAACTGATGATCTTCCTTATGAATCTCTGTTTCATGCAGACTGCAAGGGAAAGAAAAAGATAACAGTTTAAAAGTCAGATATTTTCCTTCGACTTTCAAACACAGTGATCATATTAACCGATTCGCACTGAATTTGATACAATTCATGCATAAACTGTAACTTCCCCCACTGTTTAACAGTGCCAAGCCCACCTGTCCACCCTATTAGGAAAAAAATAACTACACATCCAGAACACGCTTACAAAAAAGCTGCCTCCCAGAAGGGTACGCTAAGGTGTCTTCCACTTCACCCAACACAGGAGATGCCTCCTGCGCTGGGGCAGACACTTCCAACGCACCCTGCAATTAAGCCACAGGGAGGCATTCAAGCCAATTAGAAATAACAAGCAGAAGCGTATGCTGCTCACCAGTCAGAACAAGAGTCACAGAAATCCAAGGACATTTCTTGAGGGCAGTCTTGGCAGTGCCACCGAACACCCTGGATAGGTTCAATTCCGCAGTTATCACACTGTGAAGCAGATGG